GCCTCAATGAGGCCCATCTGTCAAAGGAAGGGTCAAGAGAGGGAAACATCTCTGAACACTCGAGTTTAGATAAATACAATCTATGAATTAGATCTATGTGTAGATCTAATTCATACAGAATGAGAATAAACATGTGCTTGGTTTATTATGTGTAAAAGTCACTCCTCGGTCCTCCTGCCAAACATTTTTACTTTAACAGAGTTTCAGACGAGTGCTGACCAGACCTCTGTGTTTTGACTATCCGGCGTTGTCAAAGGAATTCCTCCCCCAGGACAGATTCGTCTAATCACTGACTCAATTTAATCTGCTGGTTTTCATTTTCTAGAAAACATTTTAACCAGTTTCAATAAGAAACTGAACTTGACTGCATTTTTAATAACTTGGATCAACTGACCTCTGAATTAATTTAATTTGCCTTGAGAGAATATTTGATTGAATTGACTTTATTTAAGTCTTGCCTGTAAATAAACAACTTTATCCTGGCAACTTGCCATGAAAATCATGCAGCTGAATATGTTTTTGTAGAAGATTTTTAAATACCAACAATGTATACAAAAGTAAAAACCAGTTTTTCTGACTCTTCCAGTTCCCGTAGACACTGGTCTCATAATTGTGGTGCAGGCCAGAGAGGACGCCTACATTCCTCGAACAGGAGTCCTCAGCCTTCAGGAGATTTGGCCTGGATGTGAAATCAGATACCTGAATGGAGGACACATCAGCGCTTACCTGTTTAAGCAGAATTTCTTTAGGTAAGCTAAAGACCTTTTCACATAATTCCTCAGAAACTGGTATTATGGTCAAGATCACACAACCCGAGACCAAGACTAGCGCGCCATGCTACATGACATAATCAAATGTGAAGCACCATCCAAACCTTCTCAAACTGATGTGAAGGATCCACGTTCCAATGAAAAACTCCTGAGTATCAAACATTGAAGTGAATCTAACCAGAATCATTGTCGATTCAAACTCTTCTTTGTTTTGCTTTGTTTCCACCTCTGTGCAACAATCCGCACAGTTTGGAGGTGGTGCATTAAACTGTGATAGAAACCAATAGAAATACAGGCAAGGAAAGCTGTTACCATGGAAACGGATTTAAATACCAAATTATTCCGCTCCCACCAGCCACCAAACTGAAACAACTACTGTAGTGGTGATGTGACGCAGACCGGATCTTCTCTTCAAAGAGCCATTGAAGTGACTTTTGAAAACACGTTTGTGAGAACATGCCATTTTATCCCACGGCATAAAATGGCAGTTTTATAGTTTTTGTGGTTGAAGCTCACAAAAAAGTTGAATCATTTCAACTTTTTTGAAAATGTTTAACACACGATATGTTGTTAAAAAACACATCATGTTCTTATAAAAGATAAAATTTCAAGATGTCAATGTAATATATATATATATATATATATATATATATATATATATATGTGTGTGTGTTGTGTGGATTGATAACATTTTAGTGCCATTTGTAATATAGAAAGAAAATCAAAGGAAAATGTGACAGAGAAAAAAAGTGGACTTGAGTTGCTTTGGCAGAGACAAAATTGATCTCATGCATTATTAAATATAACAATTAAGGCAGCACAATAACGGTAAAAAACATTCAACTGTGAACATTAACTTAGCAGCAAGAAGAGTGAAGCACATCATCCTCATCCTCATCCTGCAGCGCACAGCCGAACAGAGCAGTGAGCATGCTCTCTGTGATCCTATGATGTTCTATTTCATTTATTCATTGCAGATTTGATATTTTCAATTAAAGAGAATAATAATAACTTCTGCAATGTGTGCAAAACTTTACAAAATAAAGTTCTGCACGGCTCTCACTGAGACTTGAGTCCTGTCATTGATAAAGAGCTGTTCAAAGAATCAGACCATTTGTGAACGTCACTTCACCACCCGAGACGAGACTTTTTACAAAGTGATCTCCAGACCAACACCGGACTCGAGCTCTGCTGCACCGCCAGAGTCTGTATCTATACTTTCATGTTGAATAGCACTTTTAAGATAAAGCCTTTGAAGTGCCCCAGTCCCTTCTGGCCTTTTTGATGGTGATCAGCAATTCCCAATCAAAATGTTCCACACCTTAGGCATTATGTTTTATTTTAAGCTAATTAAAAATAATGCCTAAGGTGCTGATAATGCCTAAAATAATGCCTGACACTCTGTTTGAGATACAGAGTGTGAAAGACTGATATATTACAAATTAGTTCAGTAAATGTTTACACAATAATACATAAAAATATATAACATGGAATATCATTCAAAGGAAGACGGGTTCTGCGTCACAGACATGAAGGTTTTGTCTTAGCAGATGTCAAGTCGTTTGAGCACAAATGGGAATCATTCAAATAGACGGCAACCCGTCTATTTGTATGTATTGCATGTATTGTGAAATGTGATGCCCATTTAGAAAAATGCATGAATGTCTGCGGTTCACCATTATCCGGCTTTTGTCACCATCGGCTTGAGAGGCAATCTTGCATTGGAAAGAATCTGGTTGAAACTTAAATGTCTTTTAAGTTTCAACCTGGCACCAACCTGCCAGGTTGGTGACAAAGTAGAGGTATGGTTGTGACCATCACAGGAGTGTGATGTTCTGTGAACCAGGTGGCCGACGTGTCAGACTGAGTTCTGAGTGGAGGGATTGGGCAAAATTCCTGTTAACTATGGTGAGAAGCTCATGAAAGGATTTCTTAGATGTTTGACCCAAATCAAATATTTTATACTCTTAAAGTTTTAGCGCCTCCAGGACACGGAGCTGAACAGGGTGAGCCAGCATGTAGTTACTACACTCCTCAGAAACCTGAGACGTACAGAAACTGCTGGGCAGTATTATGGACTTTTTTCAGCTTTACATCATGTCATAATGTTATCCTCAAAAATATACCTGGAGTGTTGCCTTTCATGCAAGTTTGAGAAATTCTTCAAACAAGTATTTTTGCATCTCATGCAAAACGCTTAATTTCAGACTAGCGTCAGCCGCAGTTAGCAAACACCTGGTGGAACTGTGCATCTGCTGAGCTCATTATCTGAGCAGCTTCTCAGAGCAACTCTGGTAAAATAAAGGAGCCATGTGATTAAAACCTGAAGACGGAATTTCAGAAAGAGCAGGACTTTCCTAAAGAGACGGAGGCCCAGTTTCATTAAGTTACAATGTCACATTTCTTTTATGTCATATTTGATATATATATATATATATATATATAG